AGGCTACTTCATGGATTGGATGGTCAGACTTGGTGCCTTGTTGATAGCATGTCATTACATCTAAAATACTCAAGATTTCAATCACTGGATTGGTGGCGCACACACTAGTGCTGATTTTAACGTGTTATCTCACTGAGAAAACAAGATCCATTTTCACAGACTGATCCGACCACTATGATTATCTTGAATGAACATTGGAATATGTGAACTTTGATCACCACAGTGCTAAGACCTCTTTGTGCAAGCAGTGTTTGCCATGATGCAGGAAACCTGCGTATCTGACTCCCAAAAAGATGTCCATGACTCCCACTCATGACACAAGGAATTATAAGTGAGTGAGTGAGTGAGTTGAGTTTTACACTGCACTCAGCAATATTCCAGCTATAAGACGGGGTCTGTAAATAATCGAGTCTGGACCAGGCAATCCAGTGATCAACAGCATGAGCATCGATCTGCGCAATTGGGAACCGATGACGTGTGTCAACCAAGTCAGCGAGCCTGACCACCCGATCCCGTTAGTCGCCTCTTACGACAAGCATAGTCGCCTTTTGTGGCAAGCATGGGTTGCTGAAGACCTATTCTACCCCGGATCTTCACGGGTCCAAGGAATTATAATGAGTCGTAAATTATTATGCATGGATGCAGAAAACCTGCTTATTTGACTCCCAAAAACATGTCCATGACTCCCTCTCATGACACCAGGGTGTCATGATTACTTTTTATGCCTAGGGCAAACACTGTGCAAGTGGCCCAAGCCATGGCCACTCAGACACAGACTGACCAGTCCTTGTTTCGATAACATTTAATGCTGACAACCACACTGGGAATCGAAACACTGAGTTTCCCCTCTCCAGGAAGATTCTCTATACTAGATGACAAGAGGCAGTCCATCATTCTGAGATAATTTGACATATATTGGTATGTTCAAGAAAATCAGCGGATGGTGGTTTCTGAGAACTATCAGAACCAAACACACTCTGTGCTGTCAAGGGAGGGGGGCAGAGAAAAAAAGAACCAGCAGCCCCTCTGCTGCATCAGCTAACAGAGGACAAAGTTCCCACAGATAAGCACAAAACCTCCCAGAATGAGCACCCCACAGTAGTTTGTGCCAGCGTGTGTTTATCTCAACACTTGGAGGAATCCATAGTTTGGATACACACAGCGCCGCTGTGCTTGATGCCATCTTCTAATATGCATAACAACAGCTCGCGTTCATTTTGTTACAGTTTCTGCAATAAACACAAAATTTGCCATATTGTGAAAGTTTTATGTGGTCAATGGAAATTATAATTGTGTGTCACAATCTTGTTCATGTATTTAAGAAAGAAAATTACTCGAATTGTAAATAGTAGATCAGGGTGTAAATAATAATCAGGGTGTTAGCAGTTTGAGCATGCTTTGTTGCGTGGAAATTAGCGCATTATAAGACTTCTCATTACTATTATAGATCAATTATTGGAGAATTAGTCTCTCTTCTGAAAACATCAATGATATGTTTCGATTAGTCTCCCATCGGTCTCAGAGGAAATGTTTATTAGTTTATACCACAAATCAATGATTATACCATGATTAAACAACAAATTATCTCTTGAAAAAACTGGCGCTTCTCACTTTCCTTGAATGTCTACTTATATAGATTTGATTATTCAAAGAAAAGAATTATGAGACATTCATAGACTTATCATTCAGTGCAAGGCGATGAGTTGCTGTATTGTGAGGGAGAGGGGTTGCATGCAAGGATTTTACTAGTGTTTCAACCAATTTTCATAAGGTATGGACAGCCATTTATACGTTTTGTTCACACAACAATTTTCCTGCCATAACATTATGATGTCAGATGCCATATTTTATTAACAGCAAATGAATTTCTCCTGTAAAGAAACACAACTTCATTTCAGAATATAAATCACGGATCACATCCACATATTCTAACGAGACATGTGAAACTATAAAAATTCTGTAAGGTAATATAAAACAGTGTAGAGCTTTGGAAAACATGAAAAAAGTAGTAGTTCCAAAACCACAAGAAGACACTGATAGAATATAACTATAATTTGGAATCATGTACACATAAATAGGTGATGTGCATCTCTATGTAACAAACACAAATTTTCAAACTGAAACCAAAACTAAAATTTGTTTAAAGATGTAGTTCCTTTAATTTTTGTGTGCAATATATAACAATGGCAAATCAAACATGATTTCCAAGAAGAGAAATTCTTTTTCAGACTATCTCACAAAAGGTCACAACTTTGCATAAATATCTCGTCTTTCTTATATGAACATTCTGACATTGAGGCCTCATAAACAAAAGTTGTCTCCCTTGATGCACAAACCTTAATCCGTTTCTAAAACTCAGAAAACAAAAACAATCTTCCTACCTACTCATGGATGATTTTTGCCATGAAAGTGTGACTTACCAGTGACAGTGAAGCTTTAAAAGGAAATGTTCATCCTAAATACGTCCCTGCCTGCTCTGACCCACCCTAACTAAATAAGCTTACAATCCAGTCTAAATACCTTGATGATAATCCTTGAACAAACATACACTCGGCTACTATGTGTACTTTTGTCAGAAAACAGAGTAAATATACCATAGAAATGAAAAAGGTCCTTTGCCAAGTATTCATAGAATATTATGATTAACTGCAATCATCAAATATAATATTGATAAAACTAAAGTTATTGTGTTTGAGAAAGGTGGGAGCTCAAGGTGAGTGAGTGAGGGAGTATGGTTTTATGCCACTTTTCGCAATATTCTAGCAATATCATAGCCAGGGACACAAGAAATGGGCTTCACACATTGTACCCATGTGGGGAATCAAACCGGGTGGATGAGTGGACGCTTTAACCACTAGGCTTCCCCACCGCTCCAGGAGATTAAAGAAGCATGATGTTCTAGAAATTGTCTCTTCATATAAATACTTAGTTGAACATTTTACAAGTTCTGGTTCTTGGTATCAAACTCAAAAAGCTTTATGGCAACAAGCGAACAAATGTTGAAATCAAATGTTTTTAACTTTCATAATTTGCCATAAATATGTTTTTTAATGTTTTTGATGGAAACAATCTTCCTGTATTATTAAATGGATCTGAAGTTTTGGGGATTCCACCCTGCACTTAATGTGGTTTCTTGTAATTGTTATATAGGCCAGTGGCCAAATTCGAAATAAAGTGAACTGAAATATATCATCATTATAACATACTTCAATAGCTGACTGGGAAATAAAAAGTATATAGAAAAACATAGATTCATGGGCCCCGTTTCACAAAGCTCTCGTAAGCCTAAGATCTCGTTACTTTTCTCATACTATTCATACTTCCTATGTTACAGTATAGGAGATTCGAATGCTACGATAATACTTACGAGATCTTAGGCTTACGAGAGCTTTGTGAACCGGGGCCATGGTTGTGACTTTATGTGAATACTTTACAGATTACTTAATTGGAGAAAATGAAAAAAACACAGTTGAGACTAATAATAGTTAACAATAATGTTAATCAATTTAGCGATTACAATTAAGCCAATCATAATGTTTTTGTGGAGTAGGTTAACATTAGGCTGTGTCAGCAAGTTCACACTTACATAGTGGTATAAATACTGCAGTTAGCAGTAGAACAATCAACATTGCAGATTAACTTGTAAATCCTCATGTGGATCTACAATTTTCCAGCCACCTTAAGTTATAACCTGTGGAGGGCGGTGGGGTAGCCTAGTGGTTAAAGCGTTCGATCGTCACGCCGAAGACCCGGGTTTGATTCCCCACATGGGTACAATGTGTGAAGCCCATTTCTGGTGTCCCCGCCATGATATTGCTGGAATATTGCTAAAAGCGCCGTAAAACCAAACTAACTCACTCACTATAACCTGTGGAATCCCTCTGCTCTGAGTGAGTTTAGTTTTACACCGATTTTAGAAATATTCCCGCAATATCATGGTTGGGACACCAGACTGACTGAGTTTAGTTTTACCTTTAGCAATATTCCAGCAATATCGCAATTGCGGGAACACCAGAAATGGGCTTCACATTGTACCCATGTGATCAAACAGCTTCGCTTTTACACCAGATTTTAACCCACATATTCCCATGTGGGATCATGGTTGGGACACCAGAACATCACATACCAAGTCATGTCAGGTGGAACTTTCATCTTGTCAGTCAGACTGTTACTTACAAGATCAAAAAGTGGAAGTTTGAAAGTGAACTTGTGTTCTAGTCATGCAGCAAATGATCTGCATCTCACCTCAAGTGAGTGTATGAGTGAGGGAGTTTAGTTTTACGCCGCTTTTAGCAATATTCCAACAATATCATGGCAGGGACACCAGAAATGGGTACCATGTGGGGAATTGAACCCGGGTCTTCAGCGTGATGAGTGGATGCTTTGACCTTTAGGCTATCCCACCATCCCAATAAACATTTGAAACAGAAGAACATTTTCATACTAGATGAGAAGAACAGCCGAGTATCTATTAGACATTCCTAAATTTTGTTTAGTTTTCAAATTCTGAATTAAGAATGAAACACTTTGAAGATCTTTCAAAGAATACATTGGAATGGGAATGAAAGTTGCCAGTTTGACATTAACACTGTGAAGATCAAGAAAACTGCTAGGTAATGTCAACTTTGTGCCAATCATTTCATTGGTCATCAAAGTTTGTGAAAGGTTGTTCTGAAGGGACTGTTCTCTGATCGTTGTGCAGTGGTAACAAACATTGAAATGATTACACAATGCCATTTAGAAAGTGGTCAAATTTAACATATGTTATATTTGTGATAACACTTTCTTAGTAAAGTACACTCAGATTCTAGTACTTTTGTTGGGTTGAGTCCCATCCGGGTTTTCGAACCCACACCCTCAGAGTCAGGCACCCAATCGCCAGCACACAAAGTCAGCCGCCTAACCCGTTCAGCCACCGCTTAGTGGAAGTCACAGTGTTCCAACTCTAATTTTTTATTAAAACCAAACAGTCAAGATGATAAAGTGTAAATAAATCTCACCTCATCACAAGCAGGGCATCGAGGTCGTATAGTCTCTGCATAGTGTCGCTCACAGTATATGTGTTTGGCGTGGTAGCAGTACGTAAGATCCACTAGGAGTTCTTCACACGCCTCACACGCAAAACACGCGGGATGCCAACACACCTCATTCCCGGCTTTAGATGCATACACTACTAGGTCGTCTACATCGATCTCCCCCTTGCAGTAATAGCAGCTCTGAAACATGTAATAAATACACAGTAGGTTATACACTACTTATTAGTGTTGGGAATTGGTTGAAATCTCACAATTGATGATTGCTTCATTACCAACAAACAATCATCGAAAAAAATTGGTTAGCATCATTTTTCAGATTTTCCTATACAGGTCGTTATTGCAGATATGTATAACATGATGCAACTTGCTACTTTAAAGTGATGACTGATATATCATGAACAGAAACTTCCCGGAGTCTTCAAGAAATATATTCAGTCATGGCTTTTCAGTTAGTGAAGTGAGTTTTCTAAGAATTAAACACGTTTTCAGGCCCTGACAACTTCAACGATATGTTCCATTGTCAAGTATTTCAAAGACTAAAACAGTAGTTCCAAAATCGTTTATGTTCGATTATGAGAAAATGTGATCGATTGCTTGGTCGTTTGGTCACTGCGACCAATCTTCGATTAATTCAATTAATCGGAACACCACTACTACTTATAGCAATATTCCACCAATATCACATCATGCAAGAAGAGAAATATGGGCTTTATACACTATGTCATTTACATTCTAAGATACAACACTATAACTTTGACAATGATTAGCATAACAACGAATTAACATAGTGTCTATGACATGGACTTGCAAGCCAAAGATGAAAGTTATAAAACTTATTCCTAGTTGATGTATACCACTGAATGTGTTTTTCATCATGGTCCAAATCATGTACTTTCAATTCCTATATCCACATATCCATGTTCAAACCTTATTTGGTAGGGTAGACTTTGCAAACAGAAATCTTGGCTATTATTGTGAGTGAGTGAGTTTAGTTTTACGCTGCACTCAGCAATATTCCAGCTATGTTGCAACAGTCTGAAAAAAATCGAGTCTGGACCAGACAATCCAGTGATCAACTGTATGAGCATCGATCTACGCAACTGGGTATGCCTTTTCATAACCAGCAGGAACATACGTCATTGTGTTCTTGTGATTTTATTACCTGAATCTATTCTTTGTGTGAACTATGGTGCTGTTGCACATACATACACATTGTTATCTTTCCATAGAAATTGCCTATCTGTTCAGTGCAACTGTTTCCTTAGTTCTTGCCAGTATGTTCAACAAGGAAATAATAATTAGCAATATCCATGGTTATCAGCTTATCATGAAATATATAAACAAATCCAGTTATTATATCCAAATTTACTGCACAAAAGTAGTTAAGGACCTCCAAGTTTCAATACATTACTGTAGTTAATCTGTCATGACATAATTGATTAAGTATTAAAAAAAAACATAACCATAAAAAAAAATAATAATAAGAAAAAAGTCCAAGCCTGTCCAAGATATGTTTATGGATTAAACTTCTTTTTATTTCCCTCCCAAACATCGTGGAGGATTTGGGAACCATTCCAGTTCCAGTTCACTTCTAAATGCCATGAAGGGACCTAGAATGGTCCCTGAAACATTGTGAGGGAAATAAAAGAAGAAGTTTAATCCATAAACATATCTTGGACATCTATGTACAACTTCTAAATGCCACTGAAAGACATTACAGTGAACGTGTCAATATGGTTTTATCCTGCTGTCAGCAATATCATGGCAGGTGACACTAGAAATGGTTTTCATACACTGTACCCATTTTTAGAACCTAACCCAGGTCTTCATATTGATGAGCACATGCTTTAACCAGTAGGCTACCATACCACCCTGTTTAACTACAGCAATATTGGCTGTTCCTTATGTTCTTTTGAGTAATGTCAGTGTCTATTTACCGCAGAATACTTCAACCTTTTCCATGGTAAGGATAATGTTAAAATTTCTTAGATAAACTTAGCTTAATAATCTGAAATTGGGAATTCCCTTCAAACAATCATCTACGAAAGAAGTATGTTCTGTATCACAAATGCCATCACTATTACAATCCATGTATTGTAATGACATAACTGATAAACTTATCTCCAAACAGGTGCTTTTTACTGAGGATGACAAAGCAACACTAAGAGTCTCAGAACAGCACCGTTAACCAATGTTGCTATTCCTATTGAAGCATACATAAAATCTCTTAACATCATCTCTTGTGTTCAAAAGAAGACAACCACTATAGGCAAATACCAGTACCATTGACCTGTGCTTTGGAATTAGAGCAGTTTGGTGTTTTGGGTAATTTTTTTAAAGACCTACTTAAAAAAAATATATATACTAAGGTTATTCAAAATACTTTGTGGCTCAGTGTATGGTATTTTCCAACAAAGTAACTGATACCAAAGAATATAATAGATTGCCTTCAAATTTTCTAAATTTCTTGACAGCATTTGTTGTCTTTATGTGTAATTCAGCTCTGGACTTGCCAATCATATATACATTTCATAAATACAGCATCTGGACCATACCTATGACTATCTAGACTCACGTCAAATCAACATTCATATTAACTCAGTACATGAGAACTCAATCAATATCTTGTCGCTGAGATTGCACATTCACGTAACAGAAGGCCTTGTTGCATGCATGACCTTTTGAAATCTAAAGGAACTCGTAATTGTTCAATTTGGGGTTTACTAATTTGCATTTTTGACTTTGTGATTCAATTTCCTCCTTAACAAATGAATCCCCTCTAATGTGCTCCCAATGACTATTCCAAACCAATCATCCCTTAAGACTGACTGAGTTTGGCTTTACACCGCTTTTAGCAATATTCCAGCAACATCACGGCGGGGGCCACAAGAAATGGGCTTCACACGTTGTACCCATGTGGGGATTCGAACCCGGGTCTTCGGTCGTGACGAGCCAACACTTTAACCACTAGACTACCCCACCGCCCCCATCCCTTAAGACAACTGCACTACATTGAGCATTGACCAGTGTTATCTCCAAGCCTGCTATTGCCGTATGTCTAAGAACTGTGTACACATAGGCTCTGGCCTCTCCCGGCTTTCCCCTTCAGAAGACCATGATGCATCTGTCCACTCACAATTGCCACAGGTGAGTCTTTCACCACGCCAATATCCATGGCAACCTGATCGCGGAGATCTCGGAAAATCTGAAATTCCCTCTTCTCGACTTCCTCAAACATGTTTTTGTTGTAGTCGATGGAGAGGTCCTGCTTGGGAAGTTGGCGGATGAGCTGCATGTCGCGATACTTCTCCCCCGGTGTCCCGATCCGTGGCACTTTGTGGTTGGGCAGCTGGTCCATGTACTCCTCAATCTGTCAACACAAAACACACTGCAGTGAAGGCAATAAATCATACTCATTAAAGGACAGGATCTGATTTGTTCCAAATGTCAGTGCTTCCTTGGATATAGTAGTTCAAGGAACAACCCAGCGACGCTGGATTCTGGAGCAGGCATAATAGACCCTGAATATCATGGATAATACACCTAAGTAAGGGAATAAATGACTTTGGCTCAACACCGCTTTGAAAAATATTTATTTTGTTTCACAGAGTGTCACTTTGAGAAGGGAGGTAAGCCCAAAATCTTATATATCTTAGATGTTTACCTCTCTGGAGAAACCCACCAGGGTGCTGTACAAAACAAGCCTACCGCTAAGACTACCTCAAGTCTATGTTAAGGTATGGGAGTTATGGTCACCTTAGCACTAAGATCACTTTGTATAATGGCACCCTGATTGGTTGTAGTACTTAATCATAGAAACATGCTGTAGGTTAGTGACTCTGTCAACTGAGGTGCCACTGGGCCACCCATGCCACAATGTTAAAGTTGAATTCAATTCTCATTGGTACATTTGAGTTTGCTGAGAACCAATCAGATTGGGTCCATATATTGTGGAACAGTTCAATTCTCATTGGTACATTTGGGTTTGCTGAGAACCAATCAGGTTGGGTCCATATATTGTGGAACAGTTCAATTCTCATTGGTACATTTGGGTTTCATGCTAGTCTGCTAGCTGAGACTACTAAAATCTGCTGAAGGACAGGTGATACTCCAATGGTTGTAGTCCCGAATAACTAGAAGCATTGGACAGTTATAATTCTGAATCCATCCTCAATGTTTCAGTTCAAGCAGAACTAGCTACAAAAACAAAGATTTAACTAGTGATCTGAAATAGCCTGTTGACAGGCTCTGGACCAACCCATTTTAAGCTATGGTGACACCCACATTTATGTGTTGAGGAATTTACTAATGACTGCCATCAGATCCTGGCCCAGAGGGAACATGTCACTGTACACAAAGATGCAGTGGTCTGAGAAAGCCCTGCTACCCTGTCAACTAGTGCCCAGATAGCATTCAGACGTTGGCCCAACGTTGGCAATGGTTTTGCCAACATTGCCAACGTCTGAATGCTATCTGGGTGGTTGCATGTGTCAGTACTGATAACTCACTATCTCACACGGCATCTAAAAAATCCTACATTCTTCAATCAAGTTATAATATTTCTGAAGGAAAGTACTTACAACAAGCAAGACAGTTTTTGTCAAAGCCATGCAGTGTAACCACAGGCCCAGTCCCTGTTGTAGTGAATGAGTTTAGTTTTACACTGCATTCAGCGATATTCCAATATGGCCGATTTTCTGTTGCAGATAAAGAAACAACTTTCCAATAACAGAAGAACTGATATTTCCAGGCAACAACACAATGGGTACTTGCATAGACCTAATGTATGTCAATGTAAACCAATGTACACTTCCACTTGCACCTTCATACAGTGAGTGAAACCCGTGAAGGTCCAGGTTAGAATATTGATCTTCAGTAACCCATGCTTGTCGTAAGAGGCGACTAATCAGATCGGGTGGTCAGGCTCACTGACTTGGTTGTTGATACATGTCTTCGGTTCCGAATTGCTCAGATCGATGCTCATACTGTTGATCACTGGATTGTCTGGTCCAGACTCGATTATTTTCAGACCGCCGCCATATAGCTGGAATATTGCTGAGTGCGGCGTAAAACTAAACTCACTCATACAGTGAGTTTGGTTTTACGCTGCTTTTAGCAATATTCCAGCAATATCACGGCGCTGGACACCAGAAATGGGCTTCACACATTGTGCCCTTGTGGGGAATTGAATCCGAGTCTTCAGTGTGAAGAGCGGGTACATAAATTTCTTATGTAACAATGAAGTTCCGTTCGTATCCTCAAAACAGTATCTGCCCATAAGTTGGTTTTCTTTCAGGCACTCAAACTTGCATGCAATACAGCGATTACTACTCTCTTGCTGTAACCCTTGATTGGTGGTAAACCTACACGTTATTTGTCATCATTCACTTGATGGTCAGTTAATGAATCTATAACAGGTATAATTAGTGATAGCACCACTCAGATTACCCGTCAAAGGTTCCCATTTGGCATTTCTTGTGTCTGGAGTAAATACTCATCATTATAAATTGAGGTCTGATGTGACAAATGCATTACATCTTATGTAATATGCGCATGGAAGTGCAGCAAGAGGAATTATCAGCTGAGTTACAAAACAAACATCGATCAAAGGATTAACTGATAACACGCTGATTGATTAATTGCTTTTATCCTGCACAGAGGATTTGTCAAAAGGTAGTGTTTATGTATGTAGATTTACTAATCTATACTGAATACACCCTGTTGTAAAGTCTCTTTGTAAAAACAAAGTCCTTCCTTCAAAGGATTACCTGCCAATACATTGATTGATTGCTCATTATTGGCTAACTAATTACTTGTTTTAAAGATGGCGAACATCATGCAATTAGTTGCCAGGTGTGCTATCTTGGGTGACCAATTGGACTATACACCAGTGTGAAACGATAGATCACTTTTTCGCATATTAGACTGTTAAAAGGCACATGACATGGAACAGGATACTTTGTAAGCTGCAGATGAATGGCATCTCATTCCTTTATGTGGATATTGATGGATACATTCCCCGAACAAGGTAACAGCCTGATATTGTTGCTATAACTTTAGTCTGTTTAAATTTAATATTTGCATTTTGTTTTTATTCATTTGTTATGGCATTCAACAGAATCAATTTTTTTGCCGTGAAGTGTAATGAGACAGACAACATACACATGGTCGCACTCAGGGCCTGTGTGTTAAATATGATACACGTTGGCAATCTATAAAATGTCTAGATATTACAATCATGTTATAAATTCACTAAGTATAAGCAGATCGTGTGCATTTTATTCAGTTTCAAAATGCATACAAATATGATAATAACTAATAACTAATTAGGATTATAGGACAAAATATAAAGACATACATTGACTTCGTTATTTCAGTACTAACACTTTTTACCACTCGCAGATGGTTAAACTTAAAATGTTTTCATTTGTTATCAAAATAATGCCATTTAATACAACATTCATATTGACTAGAAGTGAACCCAAGCTCACTTCTCTCCCCAAAACTCTCCATGTACTTAGCCTTACTTTCAAAACAATGCTATTATATCAGGCTTCTCACCAAATTCAAGGTCAATCTATTTCTTAAATCAAATTCTACATCCATTTACTTTAACATTTTAATAAAGTGAACATTACTATGAAATCAAAATTTTACATCAAAATCAGCATTTTTATCAAAGTGAATTTTTTTTATATAAGAAACCAAATTATTCATCAAAGTCTACATAAGTTTACAAAAAAATCAACATAAGATTATCGAGTAAAACGATTTCATCTTTGTTGATCAGTCTATACTTATACTATTAATTACGCATGCGGGTGGCGCAGCAAAGGTAACGAATCAGTCATGAATTCTGGGATATCATCCGGGTACTCACTGGAGAAAAACAATAACAAAAGCAACAACCAGTCCACGGAAATTGCTCTGGATCAGTGGCCCTTTAACTCCCACATTTTAAGCTTGACTCACAACAGTCAGAACACTATGAATGTTTGTGAATGGGGCCAGCCCTGACATCAGTGTCATCAGATAGTGCCAAGCCACTGCTGCCAAACTTACAGTACATGAATACTGAGGCATTGTTTTAAGTTTCTTTGTCCCTTACAATTTAACATTGTTTGGCAATTTATGATAATCAGTACATAGATTTGTGGGAAGAAAAGAGAAAGAGGCCATTCTTAAGATCACATAACCAAATAGTTGTTTGCCATTACTTGTGTTTTTTTATAAATCTTCAAACATTTTACACAATAATAGCCTGGTGAGGTTTAATTAACTTCATGTTGTACAATAGGCTAGGCTCGTGACATAACACAAAGTCTATGTACAAATAATCAATATGGTGATCAGTTAATAGCAACAAGTGCCTTTGAATATTGCTGTTTTGAAAGGAATCCTGCTGATCAAAGTGCTCCTGGAATGAACATCATCACTTTTTATTGATATATTTTCTCAACATTATTTGCAAGTCTTAACAAGCAGCACCACAACACTAAAACATGTCCAGTAGCCACAGAACATAAACATCACTGGATGGTATATTTCAATAACAAAACTGGCCTGGCTAGATATCCTAGCAACCGTGCGGCTATTTGACCGGGCCACACGCAAAAGTTTACCGAGCATGCTCCGGCGAGAAAGTGTTCTCACCTGTCCTGCTACTTGAATGAAGGTGGCTAGTCACAGGGGACTCCCCACTGATTGTCAATATTGAGGTTCTAGGTTCGGTCATTCATTAATTCTGACATACAGGCACAACATACAACTGGATCAACATCTCAGTGATTCATGTTCTCTGCATGTAATAATATCCCATTCTATAAAAATATTCTACAGAAGCATGGGCTGATATAAAACTTTCAGAAGTTCTCCAGGGAATACCAATCAATGTGGCCATGCAACTTGTCTTGTCTTATGAAATGAAGGAATTTAGAGTGAGTGAGTTTACTTTTATTCCACACTCAGCAATATTCCAGCTATATGGCGGCGGTCTGTAAATAATTGAGTCTTGACCACACAATCTAGTGATCAACAGCATCGATCTATGCAAGTGGGATACAATCACATGTGTCAACCAAGTCAGTGAGCTTGACCACCCGATCCCGTTAGTCGCCTCTTACGACAAGCATGGGATACTGAAGATCAATTCTAACCTGGATCTTCATGGGTAGAAGGAATATAGGATGTAAACTGATGTTGGTAATAGTCTGAACTATATTATCTATGACTGGCTGACTTGGCAACAGTTGCAGGTACTTCAGTCTGTGTTTGTGCCTTGACCCTGCAAACCAGTAGATGACAGTTCAAGCAATAGAACACCATGTTAAGGTATGCTGAGAACAGGTCAGGTTGGGAGCTATTGTGGGA